GAATCGAACCTGGGACCCTTGAGTCCACAGGCAAACGCTCTATCCACTGAGCCAAACCGATAGGGCTGATTTTAGGCTATTTTTACATGTTGCTTCAATTTCATGTGAAAAGCATTTCCAATAAGGAGGTCATGGGGTTTTGGCTCTAACTTCTGTATCTATTTCCATGGTTAGTGATATGGCAAGTTTGCGGGTTTGATCCTGGTCAGGGTACACACAAAAATCAACCAATGAATGCATAAATGGAACAACAAATCAATGATTCTCTCTCTCTCTCAAACCAATCAATCGATAAAAAAATGTTGCCCTCTCAAAGGTTACCTTCGTGGTCAGGTTTGCCAGCCAGGGAACCATTATATAGTTGCTTATACGCTCTGGTCCAGGATATGTTGGTGTTATCTAAATCTTACAGAAAGAACTCATTTCCCAACTCTGTAATCCCTAAATCCCGACAGCAAAAGAAAATCCCATTATCCTCCTCTTTTGAGATCTGCATCCTAAAAGGTGAGGGAAATGTAGTCTCTGTAGCAGGTCCGTGAAGGAGGGGCACTTTGAATAAAATATCTGCCCTGCATTCTTCACACAATAAAAATCAATGTGAAAGCATTCTGGAGACCAGCCGTTTAGTATTGTGGTGAGGCATTATGTTGTGCAGGCGGCAGTGGCAGACCTGATATGCATTTTAAGAAATGTTTTATCTCATCCTAACATTTCCTTTGCTCTTTCTGGAAAATTAGTTAGCCCTTTTAAACTTAGTCTAATCCTTTGAATGCTCAAAAACTTTAAATGAATATAATACTAAAATCTTGGGTCAAGTAAAATTGGTTTACATCCTATTGCTTTAACCTTTTTACTTCCTACACTTGCAAGTGACATTTAAGCATTAAAAAAAAAAAAAGGCATTATGAAACCAGAAAGTTTTCATAGAAAAATTTTCATAGTTTAAGGAAAATGTTCAAAGTTCAAATTAAGATATGAACAGGGTAATTCATTTAGAAATGTTAAAATTTGAAGATTTTTTTACTGCACTGTTGGTACTCATACATTAAATAATATGGCTGACTGTACAGCAATGCAGAATTAAGAAAAGGTGTATCTGTAACATCTACCTTCGTCCTTGTATATTAAGCTGCTTCTGTTGAGAACATAATTTTTATAGCCTAAAGTTCATGAATACTTGGCCCAGATTTTTTTTTTTTTTTTTTTTTTTTTGGATGTAGTGTCTATTTAGCTTTTATGATTCATACAGAATAATCCTTTTTCTTTCTCCTAGTAACACCAAATGTGCTTTAGATTTTTGGGTACTTAAAGCTTCGAGTCCTTAGTGTGTTTCATATACAAGACCACCTGTAATGAAGAGAGGAGTGCCTTATTGAATGCTAATTTAATGGGACTTATGCACATGATACATGCTAAATCACATTAAACTTGGGCTGGTAAATCTGATCACAAGTAGTTCCTATTTCACTGACTGGGCCCCCTTGACAGTAGGTGTAAGAGACAGCTCTTGTGGAATTTGTCATCATAGTCACTGGGATAAGATTTAAAATATTAATAGCTTTGCCAGGAGTTGGTCTCCCTCTGGTCTACCACACAGTTCCTTTGTGTATAAATATCCTTTTGGCTCTAAAAGCCAATGTGCAAACTGAGTGAAGGGTACACATTCACTCTCTACACAATCTTTTCTCTGAATCTATTTCTGAAAACAAATATGCAGATATGAAAATAGGTCTTGTCCACTCATGTTCATTGCAGCACTAGTCACAAGTGCCAAAAGGTGGCAACACAAAAGACCATCAACAGATAAAACAAAATGTGATATATGCATATAATGGAACGCCCTTCAACCATACTGTTCTGACACATGCTACAACATAGATAGACCTTGAAGACATTAAGTGAAATAAGCCAGACACAAAAGGACAAATATTGTATGATTTCACTTGTATGAAGTATCTATCTAGAGTAGGCAAATTCAGAGACAGAAAGCAGAAGTTATTGAGGGCTGGGAAAAGATAAAAAGGGCTCCCAATCCTACAGAGAGAAAATAGTAGACGATGAAACTCCTGCAGTCTTCAAAGAGATGTCATTCAATTCTATCAACTTAGCAATTATTAGGCTCCAAGTTTGGAACATTGTTTTATTTCCACTAAAAAAGGGAGAGCATTTCTCCACATCTCAAGAAACACAACAAAACCAGTTTCATCACTAGACTCAAAAACAAAGGCACTGGATAAGCATCACTCTGTAGCACAATCCTAACTTCACTGATGTCCATGGTCACTCTGTATCTTTTTTCTCAGAAAAATACTTTTAAAAACCCCAACATAGTTATTTCTATATTTACTCCAAGGAGTGTTGTCTGGAGGAGTGGTTCTCCAAGTGTGATCTATGGATCACCTGCATCTGCATCATCCAAGAACTTGTTAGAAATGAAAATCCTTGGGTCCCACCCCAGACCTCCTGATCAGAAACTCTGGGGCAGGGGTCAGGCAATCTGTGTGGTAACACGCCCTGGGGGTGATTTTGATGTGTGCTGAGTTGGACAACTACTGGTCAAAAGCACAAGTAGGCATGGCCTGTCCCCAATCCCAAATTAGAAAGACTTTGGGGAGATGGGGGTGGGAGGGGAGCCAATAAATGCAAAATGTTTTCCCACTACTTAAGAACAAGTGGAGAGAGATAACATGATCTTTTTAAAGAAAAATGAAAATTATCAATTTTTGTTTGTTTTAAACAGTAAGAGAATTAAAAAAGTAATTTTTTTAAAGTATGAGTTTATTGTCCAGGTTTTCTTAAATACCCACAAATTGGTGCTTTTATTGCAGCTAAATCCAGGAGTTGAAAACAACGTAAAATAAGTATTTTTATCATACATTTAACACTTAGATAGATTGAAACAGTATGAATTTTAAAAAGGTTTTTAATGATTCAGTAACAAGATATGGAAACTGAGATAAAGAAATAGCTAACGAACTCTAAAATAAAAACATGTTATGTAGAAATAAAAGGTATTTCACTTTTTAAAAATCCTAAAAACAGAAGCTCATCGCCTCTCCTGCTGGTTAGTAACCTAACCATGAAAATGATAATGAGTTAAGTGTTAAGTTCTTATTTAAAATAAAGTGGCTGTCCTTTTCATGAATGCTGGTTTAGGTCCGAAATGTAAAACAGGATTTGAGGTTTAAAAAAATATATATCACAAATATTTTACCACCCTAGGTTAACAGATTCTTCTTTGCAACACTAAGAAGTTGGTAAAAACTCTTAAATTTGTTTGGACAGAAAAAAACAAAATAACAAGAAATGGATGAGCAGTTAAGCAAGTCAAGTGGGACTGGGTCACTGGGACACAGTTAACAAGTGGCAGCAAATCAGAACACACAAGGAGCTTCGCTGAGGGTGAGCACATTAAATAAAAAGAGGAGCATGTGAGGTCTTTACAGCAACGTATTTGGCCAAAGAGTCTAGGTTTGGCAGATACAAAGGGAATGAGTCCCCAGAAAGACTAAATTAATGAGAAGCTAAATTCAAACTGGCGCCAATTCAATTTACAAATTAACAATGCAAAATAATTTTATTTTCTATCTTTTTCACTCAAAATTAAAACAAAACCATATTCTTACTGCTAGTGTGAAGTAAATGTTTCTGAACTTGCAATATTTTTGGTTAGTTTTTAAAGATAAGTGATAGCAGATGTTATTAATGTGACCAATACATTACATTTCTAAAGAATAAAATTAGATTAATATTATATTATTCACACTGACTCAGCATAAATAGTAGAGGTCCCACAAATTGTCCTTAGCCATGGGATCATGGGACAATTTAGTGACCATTATATGGAAAATGAATTGTGGAATGTTTCCCTCTCTACATTTGTATTTTATAAAAAGTAGCCTGACTTTCTCCATTTAACATCATTTTAAATAACCTTCTAATATTATTTCATTTTTCTCTGAAATAAATTTTAAAAACTTCCAAAATTTGCTCATGTTAATTGATCTCAGATGTTCCTTTTGACAGTGAAACTATTTTTAATTCTTAAAAAATGTCAGTACTATACCATTTGATAAGAGAGTGGCCTGAAGTCTTTTTGGGAGAGTCATTTTCTAAGCATTTTAGGTTGTTATCCAGTGTTCAAAGGAACTAAAGTTCCTATAGAGAGAGAATGAATTTGGGGCATTCATGATGCAATCAAATATATTAAGTTAAAGCCACAAAGTCTTATAAAAAATGGTTTTGTTGTGTTAAATTGTGCCAACACACACCCTTGATTTTGTTAAAAAACTGGTGGTTAGAAGAGGGTAAAAATAAGCTACTGTGATTAAAGCCAGTAGACGACCCTAAAAAAGAAAAAAGATTTAGAAAGTCTATATAGCCTACCAAATAGCTCCCCCATACACCTCAGGCTAGAGACTTCGCCACAGCACTAAAATACAAATTCTTCACAAACCACAACTCTATCCCAAATGTTCCTATATGTTCTATGTTGCTTTTACAATTCTTCTAGATAGCTCTGGCCAGAGTGTTCAGCTGGCTGGGCACTGTCATGTGCACTGAAAGGTTGCTGATTAGAGTTAGCATTCTTGGTCAGGGCACATGCCTGGGTTGTGGGCTCCATTCACAGTAGATGGCACGCAGGAATATCTCCCACTCCCTTCCTTCCTCTCTAAAAATTAATAAAAATTTTAAAAATCTAAAAAAACACACACCCCAATTCTAATTGATTTGGCTCAATGGATAGAGCATCGGACTGTGGATTGAAGGGTCCTGGGTTCAATTCCTGTCAAAAGAGCACATGCATGGGTTGCAGGCTTGATCCCCAGTAGGAGGCATGCATGAGGCAATCAATCAATGATTCTCTCATCATTGATGTCTCTCTCTCGCTCTCTCTCCCTTATTCTCTGAAATCAATAAAAATATTTTTTTAAATCTTTTAAAAAATCTCCTAATTCATAGATTTACAACAGAATTTATTAAAACAAAAAACAAAAACAAAAAAACACACTTAAATCACTACCCCGTAAAATGTTCAGAAACACATGTAACCATAGGAAATAAAAATGTGCATATACTGCTTTTATTATCATTATGGTTGTTAGCAGAATAAAAACAAATAATAGCTAAAAAGGTTTCAAATGATAGAAAAAAACATCTGGGCAAGTTATGACACCATGTTTTGAGCACTCAGATAATAGAAATGTATTCTATTTCGGTACCAATTGCAAATGAAAAGTTAACAATGAAATTAGGGAGCTGAAAGGTTAAAAAGGGGCCTCAAACATATTCACTATATTTTAAATTTTAGACAAAGAGTTGAGAATAGGAAAAAAGAACCCAACATATACACCATAAGTCTTTTCTTTTTTTTTTTAATGACTTCCAACGTTAACTCTTTTCTAAAAGCAGTAGGGCATTGAGACCCTTATTGTAGATTATGTATCATTTCCTCTTTGGCTATGAGGTGTGTAGTTTTGTTAACTAGAGACATCAATGAGTTCAATTTCTGAGACCAGTCATTTAATAAATTATTTGGATCCTTGGGTCTCTGGAAGTTGATAATTCCTGCCAACCTGTCTACTTTAGCAAAGATGGTCTTATTTACTACGAGATTTGAGAGAAATGCCTCTGACTCCTGCAAGAGAAAGACAAATTGGATTAATACCAGATAATTATAGATAATAAACAGAATTTAAAGAAAGCATTGTCTAAACTCTTCACTTAAGAATATGCAGGACTAAAATTCATAAATAATAGTTAGCAACTGCTGATTTCTTATAATAATGTACAGATTTTACTGAGAGTCTAGGGATGAATGGAATCTGAGTCCACTCAGAGTCAGGTTCAAGTATGAATCTACTCCCAAAGTTTCCAGAAATGTCGGGGTAGTGATTTAATACTTGGCAACTATTAGCCATGGACAAGGCATTTTGCTACTAAGGACTCTTTACCTCATCCAGATATGAGAAGTGCTAATGAATTAACCAACGGTCAACCTTCTAACACTCCACGATTCTTCTTTTCCAGCTAAACTGTCGCAGCTACCTCTGGTTACAGAAACGGCTTTTCAGACCATTACTGTGCATTTCACTGACCGCCGATTTCTTTGGTGCTGTACATTTTATCAACATGAAATCCAGATCTGAAAACAAAACCTCTCTATCACGTCCTGGGATCATCTCAAGTGAACTACAGTCAAGTCTCCCTCATATCTTTTACTTCTACAGTTCACTTTTGTGAACCTAAACCTATTTATTATAGAACATATACCTTGAACTTCAAATTAATCAATGGAAAACTAACATATTTAAGTGACAATATTAATGTAACTATAAAAAGTATTTAAGCAATTTTTTGGTACTTCAGATAGCTTGGGGAAACTTATCGCCTAAATTTAAAGTTAAATAAAACAAAATTGATTATCTCACTTGATTTTTATAAGTCGATTGATATTCCCCCAAAATCAATGGCTACAAATAAAACAATGAAGTTCACTACTTACATCAACAGATAGATCCAAAAGTTGTGCCATCCTCTTCATTGTTATCCTCGTATAATACTTGGCCATTATTCTAATATTCTGGGGAGAAGAGAGTAGACAAAGAGAACACAACAGTTGTCAGTAAGGCTACAAGTCCATTTATTTTCAAACCCTAATAGGTGTAGTTAAAATGTCAGATTCAAAGCTTTTACTTTTTCCTTAGCCCACAACTGGAATGTATTTTGGTTTCTGCACTTATTTGCAAATTATTCTGAATACTCTCCACAACCCTTTTAAAATATACAGTCAAAATATGTTTATCTTAAATAAATTAGTGACAAAAAATTGTAATTGTACTAAAATATATTTGCTATATACAAGAAACTAAAGTTAAGCTTTTCCTAATTATGACAAATTTGTAAAAGGTTAACGTTTAAATCAACTATTTAAAGGTGATTTGAAATAAAATCCCTAATTTTCACTGGAAATGGTACTAAACTTAGATTCCTCTTTATTATTCTTAATATTATTAACAGAATAAAAGCACTCACAAGAAAATGTGGGAACAGTGGGGAGAAAAATGAACTCATTTTTTATTGATTTCAGAGAGGAAGAGAGGTATAGAAACATCAATGATGAGAGAGAATCATTGATTGGCTGCCTCCTGCACGCCCCCCACTGGGGACCAAGCCTGCAACCCAGTCATGTGCCCTTGACCAGAATCAAACCTGAGACCTTTTAGTCCGCAGGCCAACATTATATCCAGAGCCAAACTGGCTAGGGCTATATCTTTAATATATTTTTTATTGATTTCAGCGGAGAAGAGATAGAAACATCAATGATGACAGGAAATCATTGTGCTCGTGATGGAATCAACCAGGGAACCTTCAGTCCACAGGCCGACACTATCCATTGAGCCAAACCAGCTAGGGATGAACTCATCTTTTAATAAGTTGCATCTCTTCTCAACTCTATCAGGGTCAATGGCAGCACTAACCTTTAGGAAGTGTGAGAACTATTCTAGCCCCTTCCCTTTCCTCTATCCTTAAATTCTATTGATTTTCTTTCTTAAAATGATTCCTTCCATCTGTCATCTTCAATACCGTGGTTACTGCCTTAATTCAAGCCCACACAGCCCCTCACATAACTAACCTTCTCATCTTGTCTTTTCTCTCTCCAATTCCATTCTCCACGCTTACTCCCAGAGGAATCTCTGTGAAATGCAGGCCTGGCCATTATCCTCTCAGAAGTCTTCACTATGTGTGTATAATCTTTTGTTGTGATGCAACTTCCTTTCCCACTGGGCCTTTTTCTTGGAGGTGCCCAAGTTCCCCTGCTGGAATGTGCTTCTACGCCCTTGCTGGGATTATCTCATATGCCCAAAGGAACTGCTCTCTCTTTTCCTGCTAACTACATACTCTTCTTTTTCTTTTTAAAAAATATTTTTATTGATTTTTCACAGGGAGAGGTATGGAGTTAGTAACGTCAGTGAGAGAGAAACATTGATTCAGCTGCCTCCTGCATACTCCCTACTGGGGATGTGCCCGCAACCAAGGTACATGCCCTTAACCAGAATAGAACCTGGGATCCTTCAGTCCGCAGGCCGATGCTCTAGCCACTGAGCCAAACCTATTAGGGCTACATATTCTTCTTACAAATCATATCTTCTGCATCAATGCCTATGTATCTAACCTGTCTACTCTTCCAGGTAGAGCCAATCAACTCTCTCCTTATGCTCCCCTTTCTATATATACCTGTACCACAATATCTATAATGCTTTTACTTCTAAATGTGCCTTCCCTGTGATTTAATTTTAAGTTTTTTTTAAGATAGCAACCATGTCTTACTCTCTTCTATGTCCCAGCACTCGGTAGTGTCTGTCTGGCACATAGAGGGCTCATAATAAATGTGTTTGTTATATGAATGAATGCTGGCACATTGATACCAAGAAGAAAGGGCAGGTTTAAGATATGTTACCCATTTCCAAAACTATCAAGGGAGTTTCATATAGAAGACATTCTCCCCATTCTCACCATCCCTCACATTAAGAAATTCCTTCTGCTATATGTGCTACAAAAATTTTGGATTCTTGAGAGGTCCTCTCAAAATGAAGCATGTTAACGCATTTAATTATCAAACATAAAAATTTATGCTCAAATTCACTAAACTTGACTTTTGAATTGTCATCTTTATCAATCCAGATCCTTACATGTTCAACAACTCTATTCTTCAAGTCTTTCCACCTTTTATCGCCTTCTTCTGTATAACCAAAAACATCAGTTGCAGGACTTTCCAGAGAACCTTTTCTTAATTCCACTCCATAGTCTTCGACAAGGGTAGCCCAACGCATCAACTCCATTGTAGTAAAAAGCTTTAATAGATCCCTGTAAATGGTATAAAACTTAATATTCCAATTCTGTAAAATAACTTTCATCCAATATAATAAGAATTTAAACATCAACAGACTTCTAAAATAAATTTTTATTTCAGAAAAAGAGCCAAGTAGATTATTAATGTTACTGATTTTGCTACCATTTTCCCCTCATAGTAATTCTGAATATAATATTCCCATGTTTAACATTCTGCTCTCCACTATCTTGTATTTGCCAATCTCTGTATTAATGAATATAACCTTTTAAATGAAACAGATAAAAGAAAAATAATTTAGAAAATAAAAGCTCATTGTGCTTATGAAATGTACGTCTGTTTTATATAATAGGTTTTCAGAAGTATGTACCTCAGGAAATCATAAAGCCCCAACTACTGATGATAAAAACTTCATCAAATGGTTAATTAAACAGAAGCTGCTAAAATTAGCTTGAAATAAAACCTCTACTTGATAAGTGGTTTAGAATAAAGTATGCAATCATCTCATTACATTAATTTCTAATGCAGAACTATAAAAAACATTTTATTATCTCCAATTTTATTCTCTAATACAATCTATCAGCAGCCAATTAAGTGTACATTTAAGTTAACTAATTTTCTTTCAAAATGGTGCTTCTACTGAGGTATATTAGGCTAATTATAAAGGTACTTACTTATATTTAGGAATTTCTTCTAACTTCTTGTCAGCACTTATTCGGTGAACCAAATCTGACTGTTCATTATCAAAAGGAGCCAATATAACATAGAGGACAACACTTTTCAGAGCCTGAAACCGTCGCACAACATAATAGATTATATGCACAATTAGAAACAATGAAAACTTTGGCGGGAACTAAAAAATAATGAAATTATATATATATTCATTTTTAACATTGTACTAAAAAAATCTTTGCTAATTTGAATTACTTCCTATGCTATTTTTAAAACAAATGTATAAAAGTTCTCATAACAAAATTATATGGAATACACATCTAACAATTTTCCAAAGTAATAGGTCTTTATCTGTAACCTTGCTAACAGGTGACCTGCTGTACATTACACACACACACTTAATTGATTTCAGAGAGGAAGGGAGAAAAAGAGAGAAATAGAAACATCAATGATGAGAGGGAATCATTGATCGCTTCTTCCTACAAGCCCCTATTGGGATTAAGCCAGCAACCCTGGCCCGTCCTCTGACTGGAACCGAACCCTGATCTCCTGGGTCACAGGTTGATATTTAACCACTGCAGCACATGGGCCAGGCCATATATTTTTAACAGTAATTCTATTTCTTTCAAGGTAGTAGAGGATTATCACAGCATGTCTGAATCACTAAGAATAAACTGAATTACCAACACAGTGAATACAAAGCAACATTATAAAATTGCATATAATTACTGAAGTTAAAAATTATTTTATAATAAATTTAAAAATGCAAATTGTTCCTCATAAGTCAAGTATAAGAATATGTTTTTAGCCGAAACCGGTTTGGCTCAGTGGTAGAGCTTCAGTCTGCAGACTGAAAGGTCCCAGGTTCGATTCCAATCAAGGGCATGTACATTGGTTGCGGGCACATCCCCAGTAGGGGGTGTGCAAGAGGCAGCTGGTCGATGTTTCTCATCGACGTTTCTAGCTCTCTATCCCTCTCTCCTCCTCTCTGTAAAAAATCAATGAAATATATTAAAAAAAAAAAAAAAAAAAAAAGAGAGAGAGAGAGAATATGTTTTTACCTGTTGCCACTTTTCACTTTCTGCCTGTATACAGGGAGTATCATATATTGCTCTGTAGTGCTTACAAATAGACAAATAGGAGCCCTCATGTTGATCCAGCTGAATCATTAAGTTATAATATTTTAACTTTAATTTCTGAAAAAAGAAAAAGTTGACAAGGTAAATTGGGGTTTATTTTTTTCCCCCTAAACATTTTTAAAGTAAATTAATATTGAGATATATACTTGCCTCTGTATTTTCTTCCTGGAAAAATTTGGTATTAATTTTCTTGCTGATGATCTGTGTACGAATGTAGTCCTTTACAGCTAGGCAGAGCCTCATTTGCTCCAAAATAAACTCCACTCGCTCTTTCTTTTCCATTGACCCATAGGTTTCCACCTAGAAGAGGAGATCCCCAAATAATTTATAATATTTAAAAACTCTATAGGATTAAATACATGTTAAAATATTCACCCTTGATAAATAGTAAGAACGTTCACACATTTTTAGAGAGTGTTGCTGCTGATGATGATATAGAAAGCTAGTTTCCTCCAAGTGTAAAGTTCCATAAAAAAAAAATTTTTTTTTTGTATAGCAAAGGTGGAGATTTATTGAAGAACAAGTATAGATTCGCATGTGGAGAGAGGAAAAGAGTCCCACAGAATGGATTCCCACATAGGGAAGGGGAAAGGGTCCCCAAGTTCCATGAATTTTAACACATTCATAAATTTGTGTAACCACTTTCAGAGAGAGAGTGAAAGGAGTAGGGGTGGGGATAGGAAAAGAGAAACATCAATGTGAGACAGACACATCGACTGGTTGCCTCCAGTATGTGCCCTGGACTGGGAGCCAGAGCAAACCCACAACCCAGGTATGTGTCCTTGGCTGGGAATCGAACCTGCAACCTTTTAGTGTGTGTGCCAATACCCTAACCACTGAGCACACCAACCAGGGCTAGAAGCTAAATTTTGAGCATAGTTCATGTACATTTTTCTGATGAGACAGTCTATGGTTTTTCTCAGATTTCTTTAGCTCTTTGATATCTCATTTTAAGGTTACTCTTAAGAATTGACCACCAATTAAATATTAATTAAGAACAAAGCCAATAATTAATAGCAAATTCTTAAGGCATAAGTAAATGATATATGAAATACTGATTTTATTTAAATTCTGAGAATTAAAATGTTCAAAATAATAGCACAAAATCAAGGTGTGGGTTTTTTTTTTTTTTACTTAATAAATTAGATTATCCTAATTTATCTTTAAAACTTCTTTAGAGCCCTAGCTGGTTTGGCTCAGTGGATAGAACATTGGCCTGAGAACTGAAGGGTCTCAGGTTCGACTCCTGTCAAGGGCACATGCCTGGGTTGTATGCTTGATTCCCAATAGGGGGCGGGGCATACAGTAGGCAGCCAATCAATGATTGTCATCATTGAGGTTTCTATCTCCCCCCCTTTCCGTTCCTCTCCGAAAATCAATAAAAATATAAGCAACATTTCTTTAGAAGTTAAATGTATTTGGGACCATAATTACTCTATTTCCAGCTACTTGAATAACCCTACACTCTACCGTATTCACTCTAATTCTTGATGGTTCAGAAAAAAATAAGTGCCAAACAAGCTATTTCCACAGGAAAATAATGCTGACTAAACATAAAGTTCCACACACTCTATAATGCAGCATCTTACCTGTAACTCTTGTAAAATGGAGGCTGCCTCTTTGACGTCACCACTTTGTTCTTTGATAGCTGCTAATGTTTTAGTTAGTCGAGCACGTTCAATTTCAACATAGATCTACAAATACAAGAAATTTATTATAGTTACCAAAATCCCTATAGAAAGATATCAAAGTTTTAAAGATAGAGTTAAAGTATTATTCAAACTAAGCAGAGTATTTATTTTGGAGGTATCGTGTACTTTATCCTCCATGTACAAGCAGAGCTATATGGCATACTTCACAATCACACAATTTTTAAGAAAATGTCTATAAAATATTAGGAGCTTTGCTTTGAGAACCTAAATATAAAATCAGAGTTTAATGAATGACAGACTACATGCTACATAAGTGGCACAGAAAACAAAAAGTACCTTTAAAAAGATTGATTACTTGAAAAATAACACCCTTTACAAAGAGCACATACAGTCTAGTAGCCACAATCCAACCAATACTCTAATTCTGATTGATCTTTAAATACAATGCTACTTCCTTTAAAAATATCTGATCTCACCCTAGCTGGTTTGGCTTAGTGGATAGAGCATTGGCCTGAGGACTGAAGGGCCCCGGGTTGGATTTCAGTTGAGGGCACAAGCCCTGGTTGTGGGCTCGATCCCCAGTAGGGGGCATGTAAGAGGCAGCCAATCAATGATTCTCTCTCATCACTGATGTTTCTATCTCTCCCTCTCCCTTCCTCTCTGAATTCAATAAAAATATATTTAAATATATATATCAGACATATATATCTATCTAATCTTGATAAGTATTGAAGTTACTAGCATTTTTTATAGCTATAAATAATAGTAGATTTGTAACTTCCAACCAATTAAACACTGAAACTATAACTACATAACTTACAGCCTAGAAAAATAATTTTCCTGTTAAGGCTTGCCCATTTAGCCTTTGCCCTGAAGCAACTCCCCTTTCCCCAATCCACCCCCAAAGCTTTAATCTCCAATAAGAGACTACTTTCAGTTTCCTAAATATATGAGGTATTTCTTACTTTGATTTTTCTGTATATTATCTTCCCTATGTGTAAAATGCCCTTTTCCCTACCCCTGGCCCTGCAGAATTTCTACTCATTCTTAAAAAGCCAGCTCAGCTATCAACTCTTTGAGGCTTCCCTGGGCACCTCACCCAGTCAATCCCTACCTCTGTGCTACAGAGCACTACACAGTGTCATGACACAGCCCCGTAATTATTTTTATAATTGATCTCTCTGAGGTAAAAGAATAGTTCTTGCTCATTTTGGACCTAACACAATAGAGGTACTCAATAACATTTATTGAACTGAACTGATAGTTAAAGAGACAAAAAGTTAAATACAAGCTAAGTTTTTGTCTTCAAACCACAAAAATCTATCTAGAAAGAAACGTATCTACCACAGTCACTATTCTGTATTTGCCCTTTTTTAGAGAAATATAATATTGGGAGTTTGGGGTTGGAGTTTACTAGGATGACATCATAGTAAATTTTGAAAATTAATCTCACCCTGTACTCTTCACTATTTAAGTATTAGAGTGAAACCTTAGCTATCCCAAACATAGACTTTTCAAGCAGATTCAGGCCAGGGTGAAAAATTAACCTTATATTTACATACTAATAGAAAATGTCTAAATATAGTATAAAATATCTCTGAATACAAGTAAGAGAGTACTTATCACCATGAGTTATACCAATAGACAACTCACCTTTCCTTCTGTAACCATTCGTAAAGTATCAATTAATCGAAGTTTAATCGGAAGGTCTGTGATTTCCTCAACGTAAGTACAGCATTGCTGAACCATTTTTGCAACAGCCTAAAATAATAAAAATCACTCATAAGTAAAATTCATTCCTCATACAGGAAAGGGAAGTACGTTATTGATGGAAATGCTGTGGTTAAATTTGGTCTTCACAAACAACTTTACACACGGAAAAGCCTATAAAAAGAACACCAAAGAACATTAAAACCTCCCTGATAGTTGAGAAGTACTGAATACCTAGGAACAAATCAAAAAAGGTTAGGGAACCCTGAGGTGCAAGACTCCCCACTACAACTGGTGAACTGATTATGCAAAGGAAAGTGGAAAAGGCTTGCCTGGCCACATCTACTGGAAGGCTTGCTAGCTAGCTTTTTTTGCAGTCAAGCAAAAACATAGAAGAAATTAAAGCCCTAGCCGGCTCGGCTCAGTGGATAGAGCATTGGCTCAGTGCATGAGCATCGGCCTGCAAACTGAAAGGTCCCAGGTTCGATTCCAGTCAAGGGCACATGCCCAGGTTATCGGCTCGATCCCCAGTGTGGAACTTGTAGAAGGCAGCTAATCCAAGGTTCTCTCTCATCATGGATGTTTCTCTCTCTCTCTCCCTCTTCCTTTCTCTCTGAAGTCAATAAAAATATTTAAAAAAAAAAAAGAAGAAATGAAACAGAATGAAGACAAAATAATAATAATGATGATGATGATGATGATGATGATGATGAAGAAAAAGAAAAGCAGAGTTCAACTTTGGCTATGAAAGAAGTGAGGCAAAGACCAGCAGATAATAAGATTTTCTGAGTCAGTGGCAGAGGCAGAAGGTAAAACAGTTCCATCATCTGGTTGGAAAGGAGCCACAGTCACCCATATTCATTTTTAAAAAAAATATACTTTCATTGATTTTTTTTTGCAGAGAGAAAGGGAGAGAGATAGAGAGCTAGAAACGTCGATGAGAGAGAAACATCGACCAGCTGCCTCCTGCACACCCCCTACTGGGGATGAGCCCACAACCAATATGCCCTTGACCGGAATCGAACCTGGGACCTTTCAGTCCACAGACTGACGCTCTTCCACTGAGCCAAACCGGTTTCAGCCATCCATATTCATTCTGATAAAATGTGATAGTGAAAGAACAGCATCTCTTGCACCCCACCCGCCGTTTCCTCATAGTTAATATAAGCAGGTTAGACTAATTTCTTTCAGCTCTAATATTCCATCTAGGTCAGGGGTCAGAAAACTTTTTAAAATGATTATAACAGAATCATTTAAAATTATAAACATGAAGATATGGAATGACATGTTGATACCAAAGCTGTATCAACACTCACTAAAAGTTGTAAATATATAAAGACTAGAAGAAGAAACAAAATAAAAACAGTTTTATGAGAATATCGACAGAATTTTAAACTCTTAGAATGTTGATTTAACAAATTTAAAACAGATTCACAGCCGAAACTGGTTTGGCTCAGTGGTAGAGCGTCAGTCTGCAGACTGAAAGGTCCCGGTTCGATTCCAGTCAAGGGCATGTATGTTGGCTATGGGCACATCCCCGGTAGGGGTTGTGAAGGAGGCGGTTGGTCGATGTTCCTCTCTCATCGACGTTTCTGGCTATCTCTCTCCCTTCCTCTCTGTAAAAAATCAATAAAGTATATTAAAAAATAAATAAATAAAACAGATTCACAGAAAGGTTTTCTGAAAGTCCTTATTTAAATGCAAATATATTGAGAGGGTTAATGAGGGGAAAAGAGGGACATATGTAATACTTTCAACCAGATATAAATAAATAAACAAACAAATAAATAAATAAATGCAAATGTATTTATTTTTGAGCAATCATGACTTACTTGTTTTAACTGACTCCGTCTTTTCGACAAAAGCATAATGTTTTCATTAAGTAAATCCCATTCTTTAGCCTCATAACACATCTTCACTACTGCAACTAAGATACGGGATGTAGACACCATATCAGAAGCCTGTAAAAATGAACACATATCCAAAGTTAATGGATCCATGTTAAATGAAATTATTGGCAACTGAGGTTTTACACTATAATCTACTCACAGTACGGGTCTGTTTTTCCAAAGAGAGAAGGGTTTCAATGACTTCTTGAAGTCTTCCTTCCTAAAATAAAAAATTAAAATTAACAATGAACATCACCAATACAAAAAACAAATAACTAGGCTAAAATGAGATGTTTCTGACACCAAAAAGAAAGAAAATCAGCATCCTATTTTAGAGGAAAAGGACTACGGGTACTCCATAACTACTTTTGTACTTCATGATAATGCTTGCTTTTCCCAGGGATTTCATAGTCAGTGATTTCCAACTTGGGGCCCATAAACTTCCTTTAACATTTCCAAATACCTAAGAGAAAGTGAATACAGAACAACAATGATTTAGCACCTGAGCAAAACATCAAGTCTATGTTTTGAATTCTAATTTACCAACTCAGTGCAGTAACATCTGTTTGTTTATCTTATTCTAAACAGAGATTCTTAACTGGCAGTTGCATGTGTCTTTAAATAATAATAGGAAAATAAATTTTCTTTATAAATTTCATAACAAATATTTTAAATTATGAATTTTTGAGAAGAAATTAAAAAGGATATTTGATGATAAAAGATAGAAAACCCTGTTTTAATTCATCAATGGCTTTAAAAATAAATAATTGCCCTGACCAGTTCGGTTCAGTTGCCTGGAGCATCATTATGCACACAAAAAGGTGGAAGGTTTGATTCCTGGTATTGGTGCATGCAGGAAGAGACTGATATCTATTTATCCCCCTTTCTCTCTCTAAAATAAATAAATAAATAAATAAATAAATAAATAAATAAATAAGCAAGCAAGCAAGCAAGCAAGCAAGCTGAAGAGAAATGAAGACCAGTTGGCAATACCAACACTTGCTAAATCAAGTCAGCTCTTAAGCAGATTCTGATCCAAATGAACTACACCCTTTTTTGCCTACTGATAATAACCACTACCTCATTTGCAAAAACAAAACATTCTTCCTGGGACATATTAAGAATGAAAAACAACAAAATTCAAACAATATAAACCTAAATGATAACACATCAGGGCTAAAATAAGCCATCCTATAAGGAAGCACACATTTTGATAAAAACAATACCAACCTACCTAAAAAAAAAACACCAAAAAAAAAAAAAAAACAAAAAAAAAAAACACTGCATTTAAGATAATGATATTGCTCTAACACTTTGGCTCAGTGGACTGAAAGGTCCCGGGTTTGACTCTGGTCAAGGGCATATACCTTGGTTGCAGGCACATCCCCAGAAGGGGGTGTGCAAGAGGCAGCTGATTGATGATTTTCTCTCATCAGTGTTTCTAACTCTCTATCCCTCTCTCTTCCTCTCTGTAAAAAAAAAAAAAAAATCAATAAAATATATATATATTTTTAAAATACTGATATTAACACTGAATGAATTAGAAGCAACGAGGAGGGTTTTATTTAGAAATTGTTTTTCAAATGCGGAAAAATATTTATTTTAATGACATTCATGGATAACACGTGAATATTCTTTTACTGATGAGAGAAACTAACTAAACAGCTTTTGAATTAAGTACAAATAATGTTTGGACTTTTCAAAAATACTGTTTCCATATTTGTCAAGGTAACTTTTAAACTATGACTTTTCTATGCAGCAGAATATGTACTGTAAAGCTATTGTTTGAACTTATTTAATTGAATCTTAAACATAGATGATTACTAACATTTTAACAATGTTTCCTATGCAAAGGGGAGCAGCAGTTCTGAAAGCTCTACAGATTCATGCATACAATAAATGCTGGCTAACTGTCCTTCAGAGGAAAAGAACAAAAAAACAAATCTATAGCCAAAACCGGTTTGGCTCACTCGATAGAGCGTTGCCCTGCGGACTGAAGGGTCCCAGGTTCGATTTCCGTCAGGGGCATGTACCTTGGTTGCAGGCACATCCCCAGTAGGGGGTGTGCAGGAGGCAGCTGATCGATGTTTCTCTCACATCATTGTTTCTAGCTCTCTATCCCTCTCTTTTCCTCTCTGTAAAAAAATCAATAAAATATATTTAAAAAAACAAAAAACAAATCTATAGTACTGGTGGCCTAGTTGGTTGGAGTGTTGGCCTCCACACCAAAAGGTTGAGGATTCAATTTCTAGTAAGGGCACATATCTAGGTTTTGGGTTTGATCCCAGGTCAGGGCTCCTAGGGGAGGTAACTGAGAGATGTTTCTTTCTCACAACAATATTTCTCTCTCTCAAATCAATAATATTCAGATGAGAATTAAAATAAATACATAAATAATCTATAAATTCTTCAAAGTAAAGGTTAATAAACCATAAAATATCACAGAATATTATACTGGAAACACTACTAGGCATTTAATACAATCATCTTACTTTAGAGAGTAAAAGAACTGAGGACCAAATAGTTCAGCCACAAAACTAACCAGCAGAACCAGAGCCCGGGGTCCTTGTTTCCTGGTCCAAGTTCCCTTCACTAAACTAGACTATATTAGTTTAAATCACCCCTTTGCTTTGATCAAAATAACCTTATAGAGAAATGGTTACCATCTGGCAACAAATTATAGTACAAAAATAGTTAAAATGCAAAATAACTAATTCACAGTCACTTCCTCCTGCATTTGCCATTACTATTAGTCACATGACTATGATTGACAGAATGTAGTTTACTATATGGCAAATTTAGAACTATGTTTTTTAAAGAACTGACCCTACATGAGAAGAAATCACATGCTGCTCTAGAGCAATGCTCTGCCTGTATCAATGGAACATTAAATGCCACCTTCTCAGAAAGATGTTCTCAGAGAATGCTCTCTAAAATCAACAGTCCTTCAGCATATCCTTTTAATACTCAAGTCCACTGGGTTTCTTCTTTGCAATGACGCCCAATTCTATTCTAATTAACTGTTTACTGTCTTTTAAAAAAAAAACACACAAAAAACACAAAAACATATTTTATTGATTTTTTACAGAGAGGAAGGGAAAGGGACAGAGAGCTAGAAATATCATTGAGAGAGAAACATGAATCAGCTGTCTCCTGTACAACTCCCACTGGGGATGTGCCCGCAACCAAGGCACATGCCCCTGACCGAAACTGAACCTGGGACCCCTCAGTCCGCAGGCCAACGCTCTATCCACTGAGCCAAACCAGTCAGGGCTGTTTTTGTAATCTGCTAGAATGCAAACTCTGTAGAGCAGGGATAGTGTCTATACTGGTGTTCAGTGCTCTGCAGTTGGACAAGCACATCATGTTGCTTCTGCAGATATTACAGTACATCCCTTTATACCTGTGCCAGTTATTAATGTGCATGTCTTGCCTCCTAGGTGGTAAGTTCCTCTAGGGCTGGACCTTGTTTATTGTTTCCCTTGCACCAAGTGCATAAAGCATGCACTGAATGTGTTGACGTCGACCCGAACTATTCAGCCGAACCTAATGGCTTACAATTCCTGATTTTTACTATCTCAGTGAGCAGGATGTGTTAAATTATATGGCTAACAATTCGGTACTATTTGAGGAACACTGACACCAACTTCATTATATGCAACTCCCAATTCTCTAGCCATCCCACTTTCTACGTTCAATCCTAAGGCTAAACATCTTTCTCCTCCCTATGTCCTTCCCTATCTAAGCACATAGTTCTGGAAATCCCACCTCTCAATGCTGCCTTTTAACTCAAGAGGAATAAGATGGCCAGAGCTATCAAAACCAATTTGTTGGAACAAGTGACTTTTAAAACAATCCTTGTAAATGAGGTGAATGACTAAGGAGTTTGTTTAACATCAGTACTTGCTGGGCATCTGTTAGTTCTGTATGTCTGTGTCCATCCTTTAACTCCTAAATGGACATGTGGCTGGAACATAATATAAACATAATTATCATAATAGCGAACATCATACAGAACTTACACAGCAATAAGTATTAGTTATTATTGTTATTTGCTAGGTGAGTGCAGGACACAGAAACTGAATTGTACTAGATCATAACTGTAGGAAATTTGAATGGCCTGTAGGTATGTTTAGTTTGATCTACACAGTATTAGCTCAGATAGTAATTTTCTCCCTCAAAATAGAAGCGTTGACAAGACTTGCCCTTCATGCCCAACTGGCAAAGATTAACTGGAGGTGAAGAGTTATTGCCCTTTTCCGTGGGCAGGTGCTGGGAAGTTCAGTTTTTCCTTACACGTGGCTCGCTAGGCAGGATAGCATAGTGAGAGCACAGGCCCTAGAATCCCTCTGCCTAGGTTTGCATCCTGGCCCCATCACTTCACCAGCTGTATGACCCTGGAGCACGTGACTCAACTTCTCTCAGCCTGCTGTCCGTAAAACAACAATAATAACACACCTATCACATAGGGCTAAGGCAGTGGTCAGCAAACTCATTAGTCAACAGAGCGGCAAACTGGGCTAAGGTGAGGTGCAAATGAGTTCGTGCATGTTAGCACTTAGAAGAGTGCCTGGCACCGCAGAAACTACTCCATAAATGTCAGCTATTGTGTATCTCTCTGGCGCTGTAGGTGTTTGAATTTTCCAACCCTTAAGTTGCTGTTTCTTTCTTTCTTTTAATCCTCACCTGAGGATATTTTTCCATTGACTTTTAGAGAGAGTGGATGAGAGAGGGAAAGAGAAAACATCCACATGAGAGAAACACAGCAGTTGGTTGCCTCCTGCACAAGCAGGGCACTCACCAGGGCCCCGTTGGAGGTCAGGAGAGGAGTCTACAAAGGAGGTACGTGCCCTTGACCTGAATCGAACCCGGAACCCTTCAGTCTGCATGCCCAGGCTCTATCCACCTAGCAAAACCAGCGAGGGCTGATGCCGTTTCTTTACACTCTCAACTAGAAAGCTCAGAGATGAATTTTCTTGGCTCTCCTCCATCAAGTGTACTGAACCTAAGAAATGCAGGCATATCAACTTCATCATCTTTCCCTATCCTTGTTTTTTGTAAAGCCCCATTAAATTCTTTTCTGGAAAAAAAGAGGGTGGGGGACATTAAAAAGGTTTCTTTCTATGAAAGAGTGACAAGTCATGCATTACTTGTCACTCCTGTCCCTGGATTTGTGAACACTGTAATGTATTTATACAGTAAGCTCCGTAGGGACAAAAAACAACCCTATTAGTGAATGCATTCCAGATAGATAGCAATAACTGTCTGTGGCTGGAGACTGACCTAAGAACTTAATAAGCCCTGAGCATCATAGGCCTTAGCAATAGCCCATGATGGAGCAGAGTCAACAACCACCTATATCCTAGTCAGACAAACCAAGTTTTGAATCCCTGTCTCTACCTATTAATAACTGTATCACCGAACAAACAACTCTGAGCCTTTGTTTCTTTATACATGAAATGATACACAAAGTTGCCTCACACATCACAGGGGGCGTGACAAACGTTTGGATCAAATTAAATTTCTATGTATGGGAGATAAACAATCGGGGACTATTCAAGAACTCCTCTGATTAGTTTATTCTGCACTTTGGTGCCTATGTCTTTACTTACGTAGTAGCCGCTGCAGGAATGAGTCCTTCCCACCCCAATCTTATTCGTCAGGTGGACCAACACAAACATTAGCTTCTCTGTAAAGCCATCCCTTATCCCACCAATAAGAATCAACAGCTTCTTTCTCTGTGTCCCAACAACAATTTATTTATACTTGTATATGGCGTTCACTGCCAGGTATGACTTGCGCGATTCGTTACGTACAGGAACTCCTCCAGGACAGAAATCCTGTGTTAATCACCTCGTACTACCACTTTCCTGCCCCTTTTCCTGGCTCAACACGAGGCACATCGCCACGATCCATAAACAATTTGACATAAATTGACTCAGCGATAGAACGAAACTCCCTGATCTAGCCTGAATGCCGAAGCGGCCTTACCCCCTGGGAAACAACCAAAGTAAACGGGTCAAGCGTATCCAAGGAAACGCAAAAAGTACTATCGGGGCCCCAACTCCTACGGGGAGGAAGTGACCATCGGTCCTGGGGAGGGTATTCACGAGCGCACCCCGCCTGGAGTCTCCCCGATCAGACGGCCCTGGGGTGTCCCACTCCAGCAGGCCCAACACGGCTAGGGATGCGCGCTCCAGCCCTCGGGCCCCCTGAGGCCTAAGCAGGCTCCGCGCCGTGACTCAGCCCCTGGCGCCCGCCACAGACAGCCGGCCTCCCCTCACCTTGGCCAGCTTCTCGCACTCGGGCAGGCGCTGGTCCACCGTGGCGCTGTAGTCCACCTCCATCTTGACGATGCGCCCATCAGCCCGCTCCGAGCCGCCGTCCGCCATGGTCCCAGCCTGAGCGTTCCTCGATGTCCCCCTTCTTCGGCCACCACTCGTCACCCACACCGGAAGCCGCCTGCGCGCCCGCTCAGGCAGTGCGCCCGGAGACCGCGCGAAGGACCCCGCGAGGCCCCCGCCGCTGGCCGCCAGTCAGGCAGCGCCGCGGACAGCCCCGGGGGCGGAGTGAGGGGCGGGCCCGGTTCTGTCTGAGGAGACAGACTTGAATCTAAAATTTGCTGGTGAGGAAAACCTGTGTAATAGAATAGACCCTCCTGTATATTCCTGAACCCCTGTTTTGAAATGTTATGGTCATCTCGGACCCGTGGGCAAGTCGCTTGACTTTCCTCAAATATCTCGGTTTTCTCATCTCTGTAGGAGCAGGCCGACATAAACCCTAAAGAAAACAGTTCTCAGGTCTCACCTGGTGGCTTAATCTGTGGGATCTTTGAGCGCTCATAAACGAAGATATGGCAGCGGCTCAAGTAAAGTATTTCCGGTTTGTTTTCGTTTTTACCCATAAGACACTACAGTTGGTCAGAATCTGTAGACAAGTTTGCGTTCCCCGTAGGCCTCTTGCGAACATCCCACGAAATCACGGATGCGAGACTGTTATTTATTTACTTTTATTGTTTAAGATATTACAAATAGTAGTACACATATCTTCCAACCTTCCCCACCCCCATTGTTTTAATTTTTAAGAACCATTCAAGTTTTCTTTTTCTTTACATAATTTATTGATTTTTTTACAGAGAGAAAGGGAGAATGATAGAGAGCCAGAAACATCAATGAGAGAGAAATATCAATCAGTCGCCTCCTGCACATTCCCCACTGGGCATGTGCCCGCAACCAAGGCACATATGCCCTTGACCGGAATCCAACCTGGGACCTTTCAGCCCGCAGGCCGACGCTCTATCCACTGGGCCAAACCGGCCTCGGCTCAAGTTTTCTTTCTATCAGCGCATAATTAGGGCCCCTATGAAAAAGCTTAGAATCGGCTGAAACCGGTTTGGCTCAGTGGATATATGCTGAGTAGCCTTATAAAAACATTGTTCTGTAATGAAAACCATGGATAATATAACCCGTCCATACACACGCCCAAAAAACATCCCAGTGATATGTAAAGGAGAAACATTGGAAAATAGCAAAATAGTATATCATTCAAAACATAAAAGCTAAGAAGTCTAAGTTGAAAAATACAAAGTGTCGTTTGCTTGCCTGCCTAAACAATAACTGTAAATTGCAAAAGCTACAATTGCAGTAGGTGTGTTCTATTGTTTCCTCAAGCATCAGCAGGTCTTTCTGTTGGTAGCATGATTTTTCCAAAATAGTATACAACATTTTTGTAAAGTCTGACTACATCAAAGTATAATCTTCCATTGTTTTTCACACAGAAGAATTCTTAGAAATTTTAGTCCATATTAAAACTTAAAAAAAAAGCTTGGCACCAATCAAATGGAGTTAGAGACTAGTCCTTAGACACATGAGTAGGTGTCTGGCAGGACATTGAAAAATCTGACAGAACGTGGAACAATATTTTATTGTGTAAGTTTGTTGCACTGCAGATATCTAGCATTCCAATTACATGCTACCATCTCCCTTTCCCCTCAATGATTGTGATAACCCACAATTCCCTTACAGATTCCTAAAACACTCTAGGAGCCAGTGTGGTTGAGACGCACAGGCTTAGATGTTTTCTGGCTCTATATTTGGTGTGCAGTTGGTTTGATTAGAATAGACAAAAGGATTGGGAGGTCTACATTTTGTGAGAAGACTTTGAAAGGACAAAAAGTAACAGTTATGATAGCGTAAAAGAGCTAAGGTATCCAGAACTCAAAAATAAGAGTGTGAGGGTGTCTAACAAAGAGGCAAATCTATAATAATAAAAGGGTAATATGCTAATTAGACCAGACATCATTCTGGATGTCCTTCTTGACCAAAGTGGGGGCAGAGGGAAGCAGCCTGGGTCCTGAGTGCCTGCCAGCAGCTGGAGGAGGGAAGCCAGTGCCTGCAGCTGAGGGAAGAAAGGCCTATTCTGCACGAATTTTCATGCATCGGGCCTCTACTAGGTAAAGAAAACTCTAGTTGACTCCCACACAAAACTGAAGACCTATCTTCCTAAGCTTGGAGGTAACCACCACAACAACAATAATGAAAGCAAATGGCAATGTAAGGGATAGCTTGCAAAGGAAAACAAAAAAATTAGAGAGAAATAAATAAAGAAGGAACTCAGTAAAAGTCTGACCAGTGAGTAGAGAAAATAGATAAAAGCATCGTAGTAGAGACACACTCTTTATAAATCCTTTATTTGGATGAGTCTGAGATTAAATCTGTGACTTTGTTAGAAAGATTTTGGTTTCAGAAAAGAAAAATGGGCAGTGGAAGAATAAGGGATCTAAAAGGTAGGATGAACCCAGCAGGTGTAGCTCAGCAGTTGAGTGTTGAGCCAGGAACCAAGAGGTCACTGGTTTGATTCCCAGTTAGGGCACATGCCTGGGTTGCCAGCTCGATCCCCTATTGGAGGCGTGCACGAGGCAGCCATTCAATGATGTTTCTCTTTCACCCATGTTTCTCTCTATACCTCTCCCTTCCTTTCTCTCTCTCTCTAAAAAATAAATACATAAATAAAAATAAAAATAAAAATAAAATATACTTTAAAAAATGAAAGCATGAAATACTGATGAAAAAAGTTTATTCAGAAAGAAGAATGGTAATGTATATTATGATAATAACTATTGAAAATAATGTGCCTAGTTCTGACTGGTTTGGCTCAGTGGATAGAGCATCTGCCTGTGGACTGAAGGGTCCCAGGTTCAATTCTGGTCAAGGACATGTACCTTGGTTGCGGGCACATCCCCAGTGGGGAGTGTGCAGGAGGCAGCTGATCGATGTTTCTCTCTCATCTATGTTTCTAACTCTCTCTCCCTCTCCCTTCTTCTCTGTAAAAGGTCAATAAAATATATCTTAAGATTCATTTAAAAAAAAAAAAGAAAAAAAGAAAATAATGTGCCTATATACATTAACTAGAGGCCCAGTACACGAAAATTCATGCACTGGCAGGGTAGGAGTCTCTCAGCAAAGCCCTCTCACAGTCTGTGCCCTCTCACAGTCCAGGAGCCCTTGGGGGATGTCCAAAGGGAGCAGGCCTAAGCTGTCAGTTGGACATCCCCAGCTGCCGCCAACACGGCTATGCTTGCCAGCTGTGAGCCCAACTCCGGGCTCTCTGCATTGAGTGTCTGCCCCCTGGTGATCAGTGTGCATCATAGTGATCAGTCATTCGACTGTTTGGTCAATTTGCATATTATCCTTTTATTATATTGCTACTTTTGATATATATATATTTTTTTCTATCAGATTTGGCATTTCTGGCATGTTTATCTTATAGACTGTGCACATAGCTAACCCAAAATTCCTGCCTTTGTGAAGTGAACTTTCTAATGGGGGAAGACAGACAGGTATAAATGTGTACCAGGGGTGATAGTGTTTCGGAGGTGGTCAGTGAAGGCATCCCTAATGAGCCACACCTCAAGTAAGTAAGGAAGTACTGCATGGCTGGGGGATGAGGATTACAGGCAGAGAGAAGCAGGAGCAAGAACCTGGGGCTGAGGGAAATCAGATCTGTTTGAAGGCCAGCATGAGTGAGAGTTTGAGTTGATTCTTGTATGTGCCTTGAACCCAAACCTTGGTGTATCAGGATGAGGCTTTAACCAACTGAGCTACTCTGCCAGAGTCATCTAAGCAATATTTAAAGTAGAGTTCTGATATAAATAATTACATAAACTTAATAAGCAAACATTATTCCCTCATTTTCTCTCTTTAAAAAAATATATTTTATTGATTTTTTTTTTTTTTACAGAGAGGAAGGGAGAGGGATAGAGAGTTAGAAACATCAATGAGAGAGAAACATCGATCAGCTGCCTCCTGCACACCCCGCACTGGGTATGTGCCTGCAACCAAGGTACATGCCCTTGACCGGAATCGAATCTGGGACCCTTGAGTCCACAGGCCGACTCTCTGTCCACTGAGCCAAACTGGTTAGGGCCTCTCTGGTAACATTTAAAATGTTTCACTAAAAGTCAAATTACATGACATCTCTGTGGCATAAGTAAGGAATACTCTTTCCAGATGTGTGGACATTATTTGATGATACTAGGTTAAATATGCTTTGACATAAAAGAACCACAATAAATTATGGTTGCACAGTTGCCTCCTCTTAAAGGACACTCAGAATCGAGGGCAGTGTTTTATCACTAAAATTTCTCTCATGTGAGTATAAATTACCTATAATCTCATAATTCATCTCAAAACATTCCAAACGTTTTGCCAATTTCTGTAAAAATAGGTAATGCAATAGAAAGCAAAACTTTGATATATTTATTATTAGCTTATTTATTTAAAAAAAGCCAAAACTATAACTTTGGCCACAAGACCTCGAGGTTTTTGTTTTCTGCAAAGCACACTACATCATTGTCAATTAATTTTTATTTTATGAGCATTTACTGTACAGCACAAGCAATTACACATCAAAGGCATTCTCTGTATTTAATAGAAGCCAGGTACATGGGTCTACACATAAGAATTGCCTTGAGTCTTGCTTTGTGTTGTTTTGTTAAGAATGAATTTAACATTTCCTTAGCACTTAACAAGGTCAAACATACAGTTGTTTAAAAACACACACACAGAGGCATGCATAGACATAAATTTTGCTGGAATTAAACAATCTTTAGTACAACAAAATTAATTGGAAAGCTAACACTTGATCTTAAAAAGTTGCCCTTAAAAATGGGGGCAAGTCAAAAGGACACAGGAGCCCTAGCTGGTTTGGCTCAGTGGATAGAGCATTGGACTGTAGACTGAAGGGTCTACATTTGATTTGATTCTGGTCAAGGGCACATGCCTGGGTGCAGGCTTGATCCCCAGTAGGGGCGTGCAGGAAGCAACCAATCAATAATTCTCTCTCATCATTGATGTTTTTATCTCTCTCCCCCTCTCCCTTCCTTTCTGAAATCAATAAAAATATATTAAAAGCCGAAATCGGTTTGGCTCAGTGGATAGAGCGTCAGCCTGTGGACTGAAAGGCCCCAGGTTCGATTCCAGTCAAGGGCAT